AAAAAAAAAAAAAAAAAAAAAAAGATTTTGAGAACTAAGCCTCTTCTGAACAAACCTACTGTAAACTGTGATGGATGGTGGCTGAGTTCCTGTCTCAGCAGGGTTGTATGGGCTCAGTCAGGAGTTAAGGCCCCTTTGCAACTGTGCTTGCTGGCTTGTTATGGGTATTTGAGGTCACGGTTATTTGCAGGTGGGAGAATACAAGCCTCACAACCTCTTGGTCGTGATCATGCACATGGCCAGGCAGGGCATGAAGTGGCTGAGAGTCATCCAATCTGCTTTCAGTAGTCCCCCAGAACACCTGAGTCTCCTTAAAGTTCTCTAGCTTTTCGTTAGGTTCAGGTGGTATCAGCTGGGTCTGCCATTAAAACAGCTCCTGCTCCCAACTGTCAGGAATGGTGGTGGACCCCAAGGCTGTCTACACTGTGTCCTTCCTTAGGCAAGGCCCGATTGTGGGATCCTGGCATCTCTTGTCGAGTGGCTGCGGTCTTAACTGAGGAGTCACCAGGAGGGTTTGGCAGAATCCCCTGGGTACTCTAATGCTTCTGCATGTCTGTGACCTTTCTCTGTGTGGAGGCCACTTCAGGTCAGAGCCCCTGGCTCTTGGGCAGAGCGTCTTCCTTTCACCTGCTCTAGCTGTGGTCTCGCTTCCCTGCTGAGCCACTGACCACTTATCTGCTTCACCTGGCCAACCCTTGGCTCCCCCAGAGTCCTGTTCAGAGCTGGGGCAGTGGATAGTCCCTGAGGGCAGAGGCCGAGCCCCCCTGTTGTGTTTACAGTGGAAACCTTTGGTGACCTGGCCTTCAGTGATATCTTTCTCCACCTGCTCACTGGGAGCCTGGCCCTGCTGGCTGATGAATTTGCCCTGGAGGATTTCTGCAGCAGCCTCTTTGATGGCTTCTTCCTCACTGCCTCTCCCAGGTAGGACACCCCACCCACCCCACCTTCCTTTCTTGTCAGTTCTTACGGTCCACTGTGTGGGAGGGGAGTTGAGGCTCCATCCTGCTGAAGGACCACAGCTGGGTCTCTGAGCCCTGGGACCTGTGCTAGAGTGAGTAACTCCTGGGTGTAGCATGGGGTTGACCCAGGGGTCAGTTCTGCTCTGCTGAAGGCACATGGGAACCCCACGTGGGCTGTGCCTTGGAGGGAAGTTCTGGCGCCTCGAGCCCCGCTGGTCTTTCCAGGAAGGAAAATGTGCATCGTCATGTGCTGAGGCTTCTCCTGCACTTGCACCCCAGAGTGGCCCCTTCCAAGCTGGAGGCACTGCAGAAGGCTCTGGAGCCCACAGGCCAGGTAGGTAGCCTCAATTCCCGTTTTTATTTTATTTATTTATTAAAAATGTTTTTTTATTTCTTATTTATTTATTTATATGATTTTATCTTATCCCAAGACAAGGTTTCTCTGTAGTTTTGGTGCCTGTCCTGGAACTAGCTCTAGTAGACCAGGCTGGCCTTGAACTCAGAGAAATCTGCCAGCCTCTGCCACCCGAGTGCTGGCATTAAAGGCATGTGCCACCACCGCCCAGCCTTAGTTCCCGTTTTTATAGAGCCTTGCTCTGTGGATGTGCCTGGCTGGTCCAGCTGTGCATGCATGTCCTTGGTGTTTTCCCTGGTGTGTTATTTTTTTTAGGGGGTAGGGTGGGGAGGAAGACACTTTTTGAGACAGGGTTTCTCTGTAGCTTTGGAGCCTGTCCTGGAACTAGCTTTTGTAGACCAGGCTGGCCTAGAACTCACAGAGATCCGCCTGTGTCTGCCTCTCAAACCACAACTGCCTGGATTTACCTTGGCGCTCTATTTATGTATGTATGTCTGTCTGTCTGTATGTATGTATGTATGTATGTATACCATGTGGTTGCTGGGAATTGAACTCAGGACCTTTGGAAGAGCTCTTAACCACTGAACCATCTCTCCAGCCCACCTTGGTGTTCTTAATCTTGCCTATAGGTTCACTCCTCCAAGTAGGCTCAGACTACCTGCCTTATTGCATGCCTTCCTTTTTTTGTCCTTTTTTTTTTTTTATGTGCATAAGTGTTTTGCCATGGGTGTCAAGTCTCCTGGAATTGGAGTGCAGATAGTTGTGAGCTGCCATATGGGTGCTGGGAATTGAACCCTGATCCTCTGGAGAGCAGTTAGTGCTCTTAACCTCTGAGCCATTCATCTCTTCAGCCCCCTTGCATGGCTGTCTTAGGGCTTCTGTTGTGGTAAAGAGACTCCATGACCATGGCAACTCTTTTTTTTTTTAAATATTTATTTATTTATTATGTATACAATGTTCTGTCTGTGTGTATGCCTATAGACCAGAAGGAGGGCACCAGACCTCATTACAGATGGTTGTGAGCCACCATGTGGTTGCTGGGAATTGAACTCAGGACCTTTGGAAGAGCAGGCAAATGCTCTTAACCTCTGAGCCATCTCTCCAGCCCGACCATGGCAACTCTTAAAAGGAAAAATATTAATTGGGGTGGCTTACATCATTTTCGGAGGTTTTATTTTTTTGTTTTGTTTTCCAAGACACTGTGTAGCAGTCCTGGCTATCCTGGAACTCACTCTGTAGACCAGGCTGACCTCAAACTCTCAGAGATCCACCTGCCTCTGCCTCCCGAGTGCTGGGATTAAAGGTGTGCGCCACCACTGTCTGGCACATTTTCAGAGGTTTAGTCTATTATCATCATGGTGCAGTATGGTGGCATCTGGCAGAATTAACCAAGTGTCCTACATCTTGACCTGCGGGCATCAGGAGGTAGTCTGTCTCACTGGGTGTGGCTTGAGTATATGAGCCCTCAAAGCCCACCCCCACGGTGACACACCGATTCCAACAAAGCCACACTTCCTAATAGTGCCACCCCCTCAAGGAGCCATTTTCTTTCAAACCACTACATGTCTGATTTTCGCAGAGTGGGGAGGCCGTGAAGGAGCTCTACTCCCAGCTTGGTGAGAAGTTGGAGCAGTTGGACCATCGGAAACCCAGTCCTACCCAAGCTGCAGAGACACCAGCCCTGGAGCTGCCCCTTCCCAATGTGCCTGCTCCAGCTCCACTGTGAGGCTCTCTGGAACTATTTAGTGGTAGTGCCCTATGGAAGGAGGCCCTAGTCAGCTAGGAGTGCAGGGTGAGCTGAGGGTTGTTCCTTGGCAAGATACTCCCTCCTCTGAGCTGCTGTCTGGAGCTGGTCCCAAGAGGTCCTCGGTGGTCTACTTGCACACCAAGGGGGGGTGCCCATAATGGTTTGGTGGGGCTTGGCCCCTGCTTGATCCTGGCAGAGATGGATGGTGGTTGGTATTAAGAAAAAGCCAGTTAATTTTCCAAGGGCAATGGCAGAGGCCTGACTGACCTGATATTTAGTCTGGACAAAGCCCAAGGAGAAAGGTGTACTGGGTTTGCCAAAGCAGATTTGCTGGGCCTGATATGTCAAGCACAGGCGTGGTACCCCCAACAGAAGCCAGGTGGGAAGTCTGCAGCAGGCAGAGGCTGGAGCCTGCTGGTATCTGTGCTCAGTCCCTGCTGATTGAGATCTGTAGCAGAGCCCTTCCCTGCAGCTGCCCACCTCAGTGTACAGACCTTTGTAACAGAAAATAAGTCCTTGCCCAGCTATGTGTTTTGGCCCTTGAGTAGGGGACTGGGTGTACACAGTGAAGTTTCCACTTATGTAAATAAAACACATTTTGATAAACCGTGGTGAGAGGATTCTGTTTGTCCTGGGGCTGAGGGCAGGCGTGGATGCAACATTCTTTTTTTCCTTGTTTGAGATAGGGTGTCTCTGACTGTTCTGGAACTTACAGATCTAGGCTGGCTTTGAACTCACAGAGATCCGCCTGCTTGGGACTAAAGGTGTGTGTGCCACCACACCTAGAAGGTGTAACATTCTTCTGGAAAGTCAGTTCTTCGACTTCTGTGCCTGGCAACCCTGCCCTGAGAGACCTGGTTTAGGGCCCAGCTGCTGGACGAACTCAGCCTCCCAGAGTGCCTTGGTCTCTGCCCCAGTCTAGGTGTGCAGTTTTTCACTCCTTTCTAAAGGGGTGATAGAAATCCCTAGGAGGATCAAGCACCAGCCCTAGGTCATGGAGTGATCCTGAACATCAGACTACACAGCCATGTGCAGCTTAGTTATCCCTGGGTGGCTAGGAAAAGTCCAGCAGGGACAGGCATCACTGCTCCCACAGAGATGAAACACCAGATGATGGCCGAGCAGGGCAGCTATCTGAGGCATAACGAAAGCTCCTGGCTGTGATGGGGTCAGACAGGTGCAGGTGGCTGCAAGGCGCCCAGTCTATGCCTAGCTTTTCCCAGTTGTGAATGAGTGGTATGTTTCCTGGTTTGTCACCAGGTGGAGGAGGGGACAGGCAGTCACATATATCCCTGAAGCTGAGCGAGGGGGGATGGGATTGTATTAGTTCAGTTTTCTGTTGTAACACTATAGGCTGTATGAGTCATAAAGAGAGTATGTTTATTTTGACTCAAGGACTTGGTTCAAAGTCCAGGGTGCATTTGATGATAGCCATCCTTCCAGCAGAGGCCTGAGGCAAAGGGTACCTCACAGTGATTGTGTATGTGTGTGTGAGAGGGTACGTCATAGTGATTGTGTATGTGTGTGAGAGGGTACTTCATAGTGATTGTGTGTGTGTTTGTGTGTGTCCAGAGTGCACTTGACGATAGCCATCCTGGCAGACGCCTGAGGCAAAGGGTACCGCGTAGCAACAGGGAGAGGGTGTGTATGTGTTTAAAGTCATAGGACTGACTGAGGGTGCCAGTCCTATAACCTCATTTGATCCTAACCACACCTATCTTGGAGGTACCCCACAGCTGATTGAATTTTCAGCGTTCCACCACCTCTGGGGGTCTGGGGAGGGTTCAACACTTGAGACACACCAGAGCCACATCGCTGTGGGACCACAGGAACACTGCTAAGTTTCCAGCTTAGTAGAGATCATGAGTCATAGATGCAGGCCTTCAGTTGGGGAAAGTGCTGCTGGATTCTTTCCTTTATTATTAGTTTTTGTTATGCTTTTTTTCCTCTAGGCAAGATTTCTCCACGTAGCCCCGGCTGTCACTCTCTATACCAAGCTGGCCTCAAACTCACAGAGATCCTCTTGCCGCTGCCTCCCAAGTGCTGGGATTAAAGGTGTGCGATGCTTCCACCACCACCTGGCTCATTTGGTTTTTTGAGTCAGAATCTCTCTATAGCCCAGACTGTCCTGGAACTTGCAGTGTAGACCAGGCTGGCCTCGTACTCAGAGGCCTCTGTTCCCCAAGCACTGAGATGAAAGGTGAGCTCCCCTGGGCCCAGCCTGCTCCATTATTTTAAACGTGGGAAAACATGGCTCTGGGGTGATGGAGTGACGGCGATGATCCAGCGGTAAAATGCTTATGGTACTGGGGTTTCATGGGGTGTTGTATCCAGATAGCAGCTGTTCCTTACATAGCACAGACATTTCTGAAAGGGCCGGCTGTATTTCCAGACACAAGGGTGCAAGCAGGAAAGGGCGGGGCCACGGACAGAGAAGCTGATAGTGGACTGTGTGCTTGGTAAGGTCATTGGGCAGAGCCTGCTAGAGACTGAGGTTCAGGACAGGCAAGATGGCCAGCGTGGCTAGTGGAGGGCCTGGAGGTGGGGGGAAGACATACACCTTTAATCCCAGCACGGAGGAATGCGATCCATGAGTTTGAGACCAGCCTGGTCTACAGAGAGAGTTCCAGGATAGCCAGGGCTACACAGAGAAACCCTATCTCAAAAACCCAAACAACAGCCGGGCGGTGGTGGTGCACACTTTTAATCCCAGCACTCGGGAGGCAGAGGCAGGCGGATCTCTGTGAGTTCGAGGCCAGCCTGGTCTACAAGAGCTAGTTTCAGGACAGGTTCCAAAGCTACAGAGAAACCCTGTCTCAAAAAACAAAACAAAAACAAACCCAACAACAACAACAAAAAGAGCTGTGGAGGAGAAGGGGATTTGGGTTGGGAGTGTGAGGTTGGACTTTACAATTGGGTGGTGTTATTCTTAAAAAACGATTAGAGAGCTGCTGCAAACGGTCCCCAGGCGGGCTGGCGGAGGGAGCCCGCCATGAGGGCGGCTACAGGAGGGCACGCTTCCTTGGCCCACGGTGGCGGCACGTAAACACAGGAAATAGCCATAAGTATTTATTAAGGAAGGGGGAGAAAGAAAGACAGAGAAAAGAGATAAAAGGAGAGAGGAGAGATAAAAGAAGAGAGAGACAGAGAAAACGCGTGCGCACGCCAAGGAAGCAGAAAGAGAGAGTCCCAAGATGGCGATGGGCGGGTCAGAGGTTATGGGAGTGGGCGTGGCTAGGGCAGGGACCCAAGAATAATAGGTAGGTTGTTACTTTTTTTTGTGTGTGTGGGTTTTTTTTTTTTTCCCCCGAGACAGGGTTTCTCTGTGGTTTTGGAGCCTGTCCTGGAACTAGCTCTTGTAGACCAGGCTGGTCTCGAACTCACAGAGATCCACCTGCCTCTGCCTCCCAAGGATTAAAGGCGTGCACCACTACCCGGGCTGTGTGTGGGTGTTTCGAGACAGGGTTTCTCTGTAGCTTTGGAGCCTGTCCTGGAACTAGCTTTTGTAGCCCAGGCTGGCCTCAAACTCACAGATTCGCCTGCCTCTGCCTCCCGAGTACTTCTGCCTCCCGAGTACTGGGATTAAAGGCGTGCACCATCACCTCTAGGTTTACAATTGGGTTGGACAAGGGAGTGGGGAGTCGGGCTCGCGGGTCTTCTGTCTGTGAAGGCCTTACCCTTGCAAAGATCACCCCTGGACATGAGTCACCTGGACAGCCACTTCTCTTTAGTAGGTCTTTTCCTTACCCCAGAATGGGACTCCACCCGGGAGAGTTTGACACATCAGCCTCTTGCAAAAGTGACTGGCCAACGTTAGGCCCACTTGGGGATTACCTTGTCTGTTTCTCTCAGGGCCTGGCCATCTGCCTTAGGGCCCAGTGTCCTTTCTGAGTCAGAAAAGTATTACAGACGGAGAGGAGGGGAGGTTTCTAAGAGTCCTTCCTCCAGGGCCTGGGCAGTCAGCCGCTTGCAAGGCTATTTCACACAGTCTGTGAACTGCAGATGTGTGTGGATCATGGGTGAGGCTGAATTGTCTAGAGGGGTCTGGACACACACTTGTCCACCCTGGCCACTCTTGGAACTTTGTGAAAGTTCTGGAAAGATCAGGAATTCCAAGCTGGCCAAGGAAACAACCAGAATGGGAGGAGTCTGGGGCCATCCAGGCAGGCAGGCCCCTTCCGGCAGAAATGGGCACGAAGGTGGGCAGGGCCACAGGCAAGCAGGTTGCTATGGAAGTCTAGAGTTTTTCTTTCAATTCTTGGCCTAAGGACATTTCTAAATGTGCCCCCCCCAAGGGCCCTGAGCCACGAGTGGGGTTCTAGCCTTAGCTCCAGAACTCTTTCTCCTGTCTTGTCTTATGAGAGGTCCAGCCGAATGGGCAAAGGGGTGGTAGGGAGGTGGTAGGGTAGGGGAAGGAATCCAAGCAGAGAGGAAAAGCAGAAAAGGGATTAGGAGGCACCCAGCTGAGTGAATGGCCTGCTTCTACTTGCTCACCGTCAGCTGAGAGTCTCCCTAGGGTCTCTAGGGTCCCTTAGTTTTGCCAGGGCAGACTGAATGCCCAGGAGCCCAGGTGAAGTTACTGGAAGGACCCCTCCCTCCCTATGTTCCCTGGCAGAGCCACAAGGACAAAGAGAGGATAAACTGCAGATTAGGGGTTCTAGGCCGGTCAGTCAGGCCTCCCCCACCGGCTCCTCCACTCAGCTCACGCTCCGCCTGCCAGCACCCCTGACTCACTTCCTTTGCCTCTCAGCGGAAACCTCCCCAGAGCTTCCTCTGCTTCGGTCCCTGGGGACCTGTAGGAGTCACTGCCCCTTTCAAGCTTGAGCTGGGCCAGGCGAACCCTGACCCACCCACCTCACCTTTTGTGGGGAAGACTAGCATTTCCTGCTTCCTGGCCTTGGAAGGGAGTGACTGAGCTGGGGAGTCTGAGCAGCCGCAGGTAGGGGCTGAGATGGTTCAGGCCAGCCTCCTCATTGTCAGGGCTGTAACCTTTCGCCGGCTTTTTTTTTTTTCCTCTTCATTTTTCTGCTCTGTTTACTGGGAGGATGTTGAGGGACCTCAGATTTGAGCACGAATGGGGGTTGGGGTTGGGAGTGGGGTCGAAAGGCTTCGGTTGTGACTGGGGGCAGTGCTAGGGTCCCATTTTCAAAAACATGAACGTTTGTTCTGCACTTTCCTGTCCACCAACTGTCCCTGAGTATGGGGACAGTCTCAGCTCATCGAGGTACTCAGTCCTTTGGTCCAAAGGGCCTACTTGGGACCTAGAAGGTCTTTGACAGTCTCATAGGTGCCTGGGGGGTGGTGCAGGGTCCACTTTGACCGGTCTACACCCCTAATCGTTGGCGGTGTGACCTCGAATTCTCTGCTTCTTCCTTCAAGAGGGAAGTCAGCAGCCTGATAAAGTATACAACACCCCTACCCCACCCCCTCACTTCCTCAAGGTCTGGGCCTTTTCTGGGAGGACTCAAGAGATTTGCATGCATTGGGGCCCTCCTGCTGAGCAGTGGCTTCCTGGTCACCCGGGCGAGGCGAGACCGGAGCCAGTATCTGGCGGTAAAGTACCTTAAGCGACCCCCAGAGGCTAAGATCAGGGACTCAGGAGATCCTCCCATTTTCCTCTTGCAGGGAGGGGACCTGCATGCCCAGTACTGCTCCTACGCCATGGATCGCGGCCAAACTAGCCTAGAGCCCCAGGCCAAGGGCCCATGCGTGATCGCGCCGGTGCGCGCTGTGCTCCGTCTGCGCCGCCGCGTCTGCGTCCTGCGCAAGAGGCGCCTGTTGCAGCTAGGCACCGAACCGGACACTGGGACAGGGGCACTCGGGTCCAGCGGCAGCTCCGGGGCTCTGCGTGCGGACCTAGACCAACCTAAATTCTTCACGTTCGACAGCCTGACGGAGTTGTCTTCCAGGACACCCCGCAAGAAGCGTAGGCGGCGTAGTCGGGTAGTGCTCTACCCCGAAACCTCACGGAAGTACCGACCCCGCACAGAGCGCCAGAGCCGTGCACAGCGTTGTCTGCTGCTGCTTGTAGCCATCGTGGGATTCCAGGTTCTTAACGCCATCGAGAATCTGGACGATAACGCACAACGTTATGACCTCGATGGACTGGAGAAGGCGCTGCGGCGTTCTGTGTTTGGTCAGCCAGCTGCTGTGGGCCGCATCATGGCCCTGCTGCGGGACTACCTGGCTACACACGTTCACAGTCATCCCTTGCTCCTGGCTCTGCATGGACCCAGTGGTGTAGGCAAGAGTCACGTGGGGCGCCTGCTGGCACGCCACTTCCAGGCAGTGCTGGAGGATGGCGCGTTGGTGCTGCAGTACCACGCACGACATCACTGTCCAGAGCTGCGCCCGGTTCAGGACTGCCGGAAGGAGCTGGCACAGCGTGTGGCGGATGTGGTGGCGCAGGCTGAGGCCGAGGAGAAGACCCCTCTCTTGGTCCTGGATGAGGCTGAACTCTTGCCACCTGCGCTGCTGGATGAGCTGCACGGTCTCCTGCAGCCACAGCGCTCGCACCACTTCCACAACGCTATCTATGTACTCCTAAGTGGCGCTGGTGGTATAGAGATCACACAGTTTGTGCTGCGGAACGCATCACGTATGTTGCCCCCACACCTCCACAGTGCAGGCAACACTCAGACTGCGGAGGAGTTACACTCCAGTCTCCGGGAGCTCCTGGCCCGGGAACACCCTCTGTGGAACACTGCCGCTATTGTGCCCTTCCTGCTACTAGACAAGCCAGATGTGGTCAACTGCTTCCGAGAGGAGATGGCAGGGGAGGGCTTTTTTCCAGAGCAAGCGCTGGCAGAGCATCTGGCAGAGCAGCTCAGCTACTACCAAGTTGCTGGACATGAATTTGCCATCACTGGCTGCAAGCAGGTCGTAGCTAAGGTCAACCTCTTGCAGCACAAGCCTTCAAGGGCTGAACCCTAGCCAGTGGCCCCAGGTATTTGAACTGTTGAAGAAAACAGGAAGAATGTCAGGTGATTTGTGGCCTCCAAGCTGTTTCACTCCCGAAGCTAGGGAGGTTGAGCTCTGAGCCCCCCACTGCCTCTTCCACCCCTGAGCCTTGAGATTCCCTAGGGTCACCAGGAAAGCAGCCACCTTCCTACCTGTAGTCTGGTGCTCCCTCTTCAGTTTCCACGGTGTCCATCTTGTTCCAGAACATGTGATAAGACCTCCCATAACTCGGGGAAGTGGACTCGCGGTACAGATTATCTCAGAGGGTGAGTGGCTGTAGCGGGAACCTGGTCCCCACGTTTCTCGCAAACACTCCGTTATCCCTTGAATGCCTCTTTAACTTAGAGGCCCCAAGGTGGGGGATGCTTGTCCAGGCCCTCCTGAGAAGCCAGTGGGGTGGACAGATGTCTACAAGCCAGTGAGTGGATCCAGTGGGACCCCTCAAATGTTGCGGATCGCTGGGCGGTGGTGGTGCACGCCTTTAATCCCAGCACTCGGGAGGCAGAGGCAGGTGGATCTCTGTGAGTTTGAGGTCAGCCTGGTCTACAGACTGAGTTCCAGGATACAAAAGCTACACAGAGAAACCAACCACCAAACAAACAAACAAACAAACAAATAAATAAATAAAAATTTTAAAGAATGTTGTGGATCAAGAACTTGGTTAAAAAAAAAAAAAACATGGTTGAATGTGGATTAAATGGAGACCCAGCTCTGTTTGCTCCAGAGAGGCATTCAGAATGACCTTGGGATCAGCTACAGGGTTCAGGGTCGTACTCACCAGAAGCCAGAGAGGAGAAATGTCCCCAGGGGAGTGATGTGGATGTGTCCCCACCCACCTTGGGGAGACCTGCTGGAAAACCACCCAAGCTCAGGCTTCCCTAGAAAGGGTCACTAGAGTCCGTCCTAGTGCTGAGGGACTCACTCCTTCCACCTGGCCCCTTCCTGTCACAGCTCTGGAGTGACAGCCCCTGAGTCAAACAATGGCAGCAGTGAAAGTGAACAGGGCCTTGAGGCTTCTGTTTGCTGGAAATATCAGAAGTGCATGAGGCCCAGTGGGGTGAGGTGGGGAGCAGCTCAGGCTCTCAGCTGGACCCAGGGGATGGCCAAAGGCATCGAGGCCTCTGTCTGCCTGTGCCTGGCTGGATGCTGAGACCTCTTTTCCTTGAGAGTGGATCTGTCTGGGTCTCACAGGTACACGTGGGAGAGGTCCCTATAGCCTTCCGTGTCCCAGGTTCAGCCCTCTCAACCCCATCACTGCTCAAGAGCAAGGAGCTGTGGAATTTTCTTGGTGTGAGGCTCCTTAGAGTTCTGGCAACTTCTGCGCTGCCCCCTGGTGGCTGCACCCAGCCCTTGCCTGCGAACGTTCATCATTGTGGATTAGGAAAAGGCATATCCGAAAGTGGGGCTTGAGGGCACCGCAAGGGATGACACTTAGAAGAGGTTAGAGAGGAGGAGCCCCTCCAGGGTGCGGTGTATTCTCCCCCACCCTGAGCTCGGGGTTCCCTAGATCACTAGCCGGCTCCCTGAGCAGGTCCTGCACGTCTTTCATTGTCTCCAGTACACCGAGGATCTGTGTGATGCTGGACAGGGAGAAGGACTCTGCAGATGGAAGCCCCCTCCTGTGGAGCCCGGCACACAGATCTTACGCCTGGTAGGTGACCAGAACATCCTTCCAGGGCTTCTGCTCTGAGGATGGAAGGTTGGGCCAGGACTGCAGAGGCAGGGAATCTAAGAGGTTCACTATCCATCCACCTCAGTTCACCTGCTTAGCCACAGCGAAGGTAGAGGCTCTTGCTCTGCCTCAGGCCTCTGTATTGATACTTCAAGGAGTGTGTGTGTGACCTGCTGAGTGGGGGAGCTAGCCAGTCCTTGCAGAATGATGAGGGGGTCCTCAGCACTCCCCTAGAAGGCCCCCAGGGTTGTCATCTGAAAAACCACCTGGAGGTGTTTCCTACCCAGCCAAGGTTGCTTGTTTTCGCTCACAACATCTGCAGAGCATCGATTTAGTGAAGATCCAAACCCATGCAGAATTTTTTATTTATTTATAGAACAATACATTTATAAAATAACAGCATCGAGGCCAATTTCTGGTCTTAGAGGCCTGCACACCCAACGCTGAACTGGTTGCATTGTTTTTATGAGTGAACTGCAGCTCACTCTGGCTGTCCTGGAACTCGCCCTGTGGACCAGGCTGACTTTGAACTCACAGAGATCCGCCTTCCCCTGTCTCCTGAGTGCTGGGATTAAAGGCCTGTGCCACCACCGCCCGGCTCTACTGTCTTCTTTTGGCTTTCTGTTTGCTTCCTCTATGGGTTGAGAAAGGCATACTGAAATCTGTCAAGGGGAAATCCACCAACTTCTCTCTCTAAAGGCTCAATTCCTGAGTTTGGAGATGGACGTGGTAGGGTTAGTCCCAGCACTTGAGAGGCAGAAGCAGGCAGATCTCTGAGTTCAAGACTAGCCTGATCTACAGGTCAAGTTCCAGGACAGCTAGGGCTACACTGAGAAACCCTCTCTCCTCCCACACACCCAAATCAAATGATAATTCTTGTTTTCAGACAGGGTTTCACACTTGTAGCCCAGGCTCACTTTGAACCTGTGAGCCACCTAAAAGCTGGGATTCCACCATGCTGGCCAAATGACTTCCCTACACGTCAGTGTTTGAGAAATTCCGAAGAGGGAAGTGTGATAGGAAGCTGGGCTTCATAGTGCAGCCAGCAGAACTGTGCAGGAAGTCCATAAATAACTAGTGTTAATGTTCTTATTCTTTGGAGCCAGACTTTCTATGAGAACCTAGTTGACCTAGAACTCACACTTCTTCATCTGTTTTCTCTTTTTGTTTTGTTTCTGTGACAGGATCTGGCTGTATAGCCCAGGCTAGCCTTGAACTCTTTGTAGCCCAGGCTGGTCCCAGGCTCTCCATCTGCATCTGTCCTCCCTGATCCACAAGCAGGAAGCAGAGAGAATTAATTAGCTCCCGTGGTGTCAGTCTCAGTGTTTAGAAACCTAAAAACCATGATGACACCCCTTCAACAAAGTCACAGCTAATCCTTCCCAAAGAGTTACACCTGCTGGGGACCAGTATTCAAATGTGTGATTCTACGGGGGCCATTGGCATTCACAAACCTGTGGAGACAACGGAAGTTGGAGGAGGGAATAGTTTTATTCAGCTCTAGGTTTGGGAAAGTGGAGGAAGCATATCCATCGCAAAGTATAAGAACTCCCATTTTCAGCCGGGCAGTGGTGGCGACGCCTTTAATCCCAGCAGAGGCAGGCTGTGAGTTCGAAGCCAACCAGGTCTACAAGAGCTAGTTCCAGGACAGGCTCCTAAGCTACAGAGAAACCCAGTCTCAAAAAAAAAAAAAAAAAAAAAAAAAGACAAAAGAATTCCCATTTTCTAAAACAGAAAGATCTCTGAGCGTTGGTGGTTGTGCTGGGTGGACAATTCCAGCACCAGGCAAAAGTCTNCCAAGGGCTGAACCCTAGCCAGTGGCCCCAGGTATTTGAACTGTTGAAGAAAACAGGAAGAATGTCAGGTGATTTGTGGCCTCCAAGCTGTTTCACTCCCGAAGCTAGGGAGGTTGAGCTCTGAGCCCCCCACTGCCTCTTCCACCCCTGAGCCTTGAGATTCCCTAGGGTCACCAGGAAAGCAGCCACCTTCCTACCTGTAGTCTGGTGCACCCTCTTCAGTTTCCACGGTGTCCATCTTGTTCCAGAACATGTGATAAGACCTCCCATAACCCGGGGAAGTGGACTCGCGGTACAGATTATCTCAGAGGGTGAGTGGCTGTAGCGGGAACCTGGTCCCCACGTTTCTCGCAAACACTCCGTTATCCCTTGAATGCCTCTTTAACTTAGAGGCCCCAAGGTGGGGGATGCTTGTCCAGGCCCTCCTGAGAAGCCAGTGGGGTGGACAGATGTCTACAAGCCAGTGAGTGGATCCAGTGGGACCCCTCAAATGTTGCGGATCGCTGGGCGGTGGTGGTGCACGCCTTTAATCCCAGCACTCGGGAGGCAGAGGCAGGTGGATCTCTGTGAGTTTGAGGTCAGCCTGGTCTACAGACTGAGTTCCAGGATACAAAAGCTACACAGAGAAACCAACCACCAAACAAACAAACAAACAAACAAATAAATAAATAAAAATTTTAAAGAATGTTGTGGATCAAGAACTTGGTTAAAAAAAAAAAAAACATGGTTGAATGTGGATTAAATGGAGACCCAGCTCTGTTTGCTCCAGAGAGGCATTCAGAATGACCTTGGGATCAGCTACAGGGTTCAGGGTCGTACTCACCAGAAGCCAGAGAGGAGAAATGTCCCCAGGGGAGTGATGTGGATGTGTCCCCACCCACCTTGGGGAGACCTGCTGGAAAACCACCCAAGCTCAGGCTTCCCTAGAAAGGGTCACTAGAGTCCGTCCTAGTGCTGAGGGACTCACTCCTTCCACCTGGCCCCTTCCTGTCACAGCTCTGGAGTGACAGCCCCTGAGTCAAACAATGGCAGCAGTGAAAGTGAACAGGGCCTTGAGGCTTCTGTTTGCTGGAAATATCAGAAGTGCATGAGGCCCAGTGGGGTGAGGTGGGGAGCAGCTCAGGCTCTCAGCTGGACCCAGGGGATGGCCAAAGGCATCGAGGCCTCTGTCTGCCTGTGCCTGGCTGGATGCTGAGACCTCTTTTCCTTGAGAGTGGATCTGTCTGGGTCTCACAGGTACACGTGGGAGAGGTCCCTATAGCCTTCCGTGTCCCAGGTTCAGCCCTCTCAACCCCATCACTGCTCAAGAGCAAGGAGCTGTGGAATTTTCTTGGTGTGAGGCTCCTTAGAGTTCTGGCAACTTCTGCGCTGCCCCCTGGTGGCTGCACCCAGCCCTTGCCTGCGAACGTTCATCATTGTGGATTAGGAAAAGGCATATCCGAAAGTGGGGCTTGAGGGCACCGCAAGGGATGACACTTAGAAGAGGTTAGAGAGGAGGAGCCCCT